TATTTAATTTTACTCTTGACTGGCATTATAAGTGTAATCAGAGTTTAGGCTGAAAGTAATAAGAGCCTAAAACATGTGAATGACCATAGGAATTGAAAAAAAGGGAGAAAGGTAAAAGGACTTAACATCTTATTTGAAAAGAAGAAATATGACAAAAAGGTTTGCAAGAGATTTTCATTTTAGACGTGTGAATTTTGAGAAGTCCACCTATCCAATCAGTGGTTCTCAAAGAGCATATTGAGATTCTTTGTGGACTTTTTTTTTTTTTTTTAATAGACACATACCCGTGGCCATCCCTTTCCTAACTGCCAGTCCTACTTCACCCAGTTTATAATGTGAACTTTTAGGGAACATAGAAGAATCTTGAAAGAAGAAGGAGTCATTTTTCAAACTTTATATGCCTACAACCCTTCCAAAGTTATAAATTTTGAAGGAAGTGTATAATTTTGGGAAGGAGAAGCCCCATAGGTGGCACGGATAAACATCATTCCTACCCTTCTCCCAAACCAAATTGGGGAATTATTAATATTAGTAGACTATCCAGCTGTCAATTTGGAGCAGAGGTTGTGGTACAGATGCAGATTTGTATTTTTCTCTGCAGAAAAGAAGACCTTGTATAATTGGACAAACTGGTTACTGAAAGGGCAGAGAATCTTAGGGTACAGAGCACCCAGAGGGCAGAATGAACTGGGAGGAATGCTAGGAAGTATGGGTCAGTGGTGCTACAGGGGATAAGTTAAATGAGGACTGAAAAAAGGAATGAGAAGATGCGTGATAATCCATTAGACAGCTGTTTATCAGTTATAATTTTAAGGGGTTGAAGAATGAATAGAGAGGATGCATATATGGAAAGAACAGGTATGGACTATTTCATGTTATTCAGCAGTAAAGGAAGAGAGAGAAAACTGGCAGCTGGAAGCTGTGGGAAGATATTTTTCTTCCTTGGAGGAAACTTAGGCATTTTGTGATCAAAAGTGAAAGAGTCAAAAGTTCTTGGCGTGGCACAGAAAGGCCTTTTTGATCTGTCCTTTGTCCCATGTCTGCTCCTCCAGCATTACCTCTTTTCACTTATCCTCAAAAGTTTCCTGCCTCAGCCAAACTGAACCACCATGCTCTTGGTGATGCTCATGCTTATTAGTGCTTAGGATTCCCCAGATTCATCTTTGAGTCATTTCACAACCTATTACTCAGAAAACCAGCAGAATGGACTTCATCTGGGCATTAGAATGCACAATTTATAAACCTGCAAACCAGCAGAATGGACTTCATCTGGGAGTTAGAAATGCACAATTTGTAAACCTGCTGAAGCAGAATCTGCATTGTAACAAAATTTCCAAGATGACTCATAGGGCTTTGAAATTTAAAAATTGTCCAGCAAGCCTGTTAGCCCCTAGAGCTCAGCCACTCTGTATGCTTTTACTTATCTCTCCTGTGCATTGCCAGGTGTCATTAAGTATCTGGCCAATGACAATGTTTTGATTTTATCAAAATGCATAATGAGCACTGACTATATGACAGGTACTGTTCAAGGTAGGAGAATCACCAATGAACATGGTAGATAAGTTTCTACCCTTATGAAACTTACCTAACATGGGAAGAGATAGACAAATGTGTTAAGAAGTAAGAATTTCAGATATTGATATAAAAAAATAACATGGGCTGGGTACGGTACTGCATGCTATAATCCCAGCAACTCGGTGAGGTTGAGGTAGGAGGATTACAAGTTCAACATCAGCTTCCACAACTTAGAAAGTACTCATATCAAAAAATAAAAAGGGCTGGGGATATATCTTAGTGGTATACACCCCTGGTTTCAATCTCCAGTACCAAAAATAAATGGGGCGATGGAATATAAACTTAATAGGCAGAGTATATAGGGGATCTATTTAAAATACATTAGTTTTAGGCCATGCCTGTTGAGACAAGAATGCTGAGGAGAGCTAGCTTGCCTTTTTTTTTTGCAAATACAGAAATAAATCTGGCATAAAAGAACAAGGCAAGGTGTTATCGGTGATGAGATCAAAGAGGTAAGCAGATGCTAAATCATGTTAGGCAATGAGTTTCAATGCTATAGACCCACTGCCCCTTAATTTAACAAATATTTCACAATACTACTTCAATATCCTGCAATGAAAGTCATAGCTAATATAATTCACACAAGTGCTTGTTCCGCACTATAAAGAATAAATAGAATGAGTGTGATTTATAATAAATAATAAATATTTTCAGTATGTTAAAGTTTACTCATAGCAACATTATAGAACATAATAAAGTTACATGAAATTTAATACATAAAAGTGTTGTGAATGTGAACTGCAATGCAGACTGATAAAGATGAAATTATTGGTGTTTCAATTTGTGTCCTTGGTGACCAACTCTGGGTAAAGTTTTGAGTAAAACAGTCTTTGATTTTCACAGTAGTTACATTAAAGAAAAATTAATGGTAGAATAAAAGTGCAAAAAGTACTTTGTGTTTAAATATAACAAGAAGAAGTTTCTAGGCTCAGCTAGTTATAAATATATTCTTTACTTACAGAATCTCCAATGGGATAGTTGAAGGTCTTGCAGGATATGCAAGAACACATCGTATTTATTTATTTATTTATTTATTTAAGGTGGACAAAATATCTTTATTTTATTTTTATGTGGTGCTGAGAATCGAACCCAGTGCCTCATGCATGCTAGGTGAGCGTGCTACCACTTGAGCCACAACCCCAGCCCGAACACATCATTTTTTTGTGTGGGTCTTCTCCATACATCACAGGACATTTAGGATCTTGCAGCTCTATCCACTAACTGCCATTAAGAGCTCTCTAGTAATTGTAACAGCTAAAATAATGTCTCCAAAAAAATTCTCTTAGGAACTTGGTACTACTGTTGAGGATCACTGAGTGGGTTATGTGCCATGGTAAGAAGTTTGGATTTTATTCCTAATGCATTGTAACTACTGCAGGGTTTCAAATGAATGAGAGAAAGGTGAGGGGAGTATAATCTCTAGCTTCTGACTGGACAATGGACTTCAAGTAGAGAAAATAACCTAAGAAATATAACTAATAGGACAAGATTTTAGAGGCAAAACAAGGCAATCAAAGATTCAGGTAAAGAATTACTTTTAAAAACAATAGGAAAATGTCTTAAGTGACTGGAAAGTAGAAAGAATGGATAGTGATATAAATAGTTAGAGATGACGGTAAGAACTTCTGGATTACTTTGGATGGTTCCAGTCTTATCAGTAAAAAAAAACTATATGGTGATCTGCTGACTGGGACCAAAGTTAGGGTAGAGGATTGTGAGTGGAAGAATGGGAATAGGTTATATGAAGTATATACCCAGGGAATAACCAGGAAAATAATGAAAAAGGATTTAATAACAGCAGTGAAGTCCCTTAGCAAAAGTATAAAATTATGTCCATTATTGTTTTATGGATTTTTATATAGCCTCTCTTGGCAGATGGGTAACAAAGAAGGGCATATTTAGTTTTTTTTAGGATTGGTAGATTGGTGCGATGCAAGGTTAGAAGAATGAGGAACCCAAAGGTGCAAGTGATACCATAGCTAAAATAATTAAAATGGCTGATGGTATAGTGCAGGCTAGAACAGAAAAGGCAGGTAAAATCAGTAGGGACTAAAACACATGAGAAAATAGGGAAGAAGCAAGGGAAATAGATGGAGGTTCACTTGAAGAGCTGGATTGGAAGTCATAGAAGAAGATATTTCTGAATTCGAGATGTTAGAATAAAACAGTTCAAAGTGATAGTGAGATTCAAGCTGAATGTGCTCATGAATAGTAGAGCTAAAATGAAGTTGCATACCATTAGAAGTGAGGCAGTCAGGAAACTCAAAATCTAAGAAAGGATCCTCATGTGTAAAGTTTAATTTTTTGTTCAGTTATTTTGTGATTTCATTTTACTTGCCTAATATTTATGGTACAGTTTACTCACACTGTAATATAAACCTAATAAGGTCAGATGCTTTGTCTCTTAATTCTTTATTCCAGCATCAAAATATTACCTGGCACATAGTAAATAAGTGCTTCTGTCAATAATTGTTAAATGCATGAATAAATAACAACTACCATTTCTTTATTAAGCCCCTTCCAGAAATATGCAAAGTACCTTAGACACATATTCCAAACTCTACAAAGCAGGTTTTTTAAACCCCCTTTTTCAAAGGACGCTGAAGCAGAAAGGTAGCATAGAATAGGAATGGCAGATTGCCTGGGTTTGAATCCAACTTTGCCGTTTACAAGCTATGTGACTTTGTCATCAGTGAAATAGTAATTTATAACAGAATGTACCTTCTAACACTGTTGTAAGAATAAATTAGTTCATATTTATATACTTGTTAGAACAATGACTAGCATATAGTAAGAACTATATGAATATCTGTTAATCAAATAAAATAAACATGGCTAGTAAGGGTGAGAGTTGAGATTCAGACCAATGTTTGCTAACTCTAGTCTTTCCCACTACACCAAGAAATTACCATGTCACATTGTTATACATGATATTTCTGGGTATTTTTATTCAGGAAATCTGTTCATTCAAATAGCAACCTTAATTCCACACATCCCAATGTTCATACTTTTACTAATGAAATTCACTTGTGTCACATCATTTCAACATTAAGCCCAAGAACTAGGAATATCTACCAAATGGTAAGTATTGCTCCATGTGCTTAGGGAAAATGTATTCTGCAATATTAATCAGTATATTTTTGCAAGAATTAAAAGCCTAACATACTTAGCATGGGCAAACCAAACCAATTAAAAAAAACCCACTTTCTGTGCTTTAATTTACAAGGTAATTAGATTACCATACCCAGTTATCTGTGTGTCATTAGTATCTGAATCACACTAAAAATTAGTGGTTAGTTTGTAGCTTAATATACAATCACTACATTGAAATACAATCTGTCTCAATGAATTTTCTTATTCATTATCCTGTGTAAAGTCAATAATAGATTATTAAATTTTTAATGACCCTTCTTATTTCATTTTAGATTTTATGTTTACAATAAAAAGAGACGTCTTATCAACACACCTTACGTGGATAATTCCTATAAGTGGGCTGGTGGTGGATTTCTGTCTACAGTGGGTGACCTTCTGAAATTTGGGAATGCAATGCTGTATGGTTACCAAGTCGGGCTGTTTAAGAACTCAAATGAAAATCTTTTACCTGGATATCTCAAACCAGAAACAATGGTTATGATTTGGACACCAGTCCCTAACACAGAAATGTCTTGGGATAAAGAGGGTAAATATGCAATGGCATGGGGTGTTGTAGAAAAAAAACAAACACATGGTTCTTGTAGGAAGCAACGGCATTATGCTTCACATACTGGAGGTGCAGTGGGTGCCAGTAGTGTCCTGCTAGTCCTTCCTGAAGAACTGGATACAGAAGTTATAAATAACAAAGTCCCCCCAAGGGGAATAATTGTTTCTATCATATGTAACATGCAGTCTGTTGGCCTCAATAGCACTGCTTTAAAGATTGCCCTGGAATTTGATAAAGACAGATCAGAGTGATACCATAACATCACAGGTGCAAAATAACCTGTTCTTTTTTTTAATCATTAAAATTCCAAAATATGAGATTTTTATGAATAAATTTGTAATAGACTTCAATGGAATGCAGAAAATTATGTACTTGTAATTGCTTAATTTTGTAACTGTCTTTTATTATAGAATTTGTTCTTTATACTCAGGGAAGTAACTATAGTTTCTACTTTTTGAAAAAAGTGTTGACTGTTGAAATAAAATATTCTGATAAAAAGATGTACTTTTTGAATGTGTAATGAGGAAATCTCATTCAGCAGGAGCTTCTGTGTATTGACCTTTTAATATGACAGCTGAAACAAGATTATGAGAAATTGTATATTAGTTATCTATTACAGCTTAAAAGAGCAAACATTTATCATCTCACAGTTTCTGAGGCTCAGGAATTGAGAAGTAATATTGTTGGGTGGGTCTTTTGCAGTCTCCAACAATGTTGCAGACAAGGTATTGTAGTTTTCTCAAGGGTTCTCTGACACTAGAGGAAATGCTTCCATGAGTCACTCCTATGGCTGATAAGTGAGATAAGGTCTCACTTAGGTTTGTCACCACAAGGACCTCTCTGTAGGGCTGTTGGAGAATCTTAATGTCGTGGCAGTTGGCTTCCGCCTAGCAAATGACAGAACACACATGAGCAAAATGTAAGCACATCAGGCAAAAGTTAATATATTTTAGAAGTCATACTATCACACTTGCCAAATTTCCTAGGTCACATGGGACCCAATATAATGTTGAAGAGACTACATGAAGTATAAATTTCATGAGGTAGAGATCATTGGCAGTCAGCTTGAATGCTGGCTGCCACAGTCCGATGTCTTGTCTCTATTGATTTATGTCCTTCCCACATGCAAAATAAACTTAACTCCCAAGTCCTCCAGAAGTTTCATCCCATTGTAGCAGCAGCACAAAGCCCAACATCTTATCATCTAAATCAGGTCTAAGTGTGAATAAGTCTCCTTGGCAATAGTTCTGGATAGTTCCTTAAGTACAGTAATTCAAGTATATAGTTCCTTTTCATATTAAGACCTGTGAACTAATACAAGTTATTTGCTCCCCACAGGTACACTATACAACAGATGGAGAGTTACTGTTGTAGTCCCTCCTATTCAAAAAGTTTTGAGAGGGTGTCCATGGCAATCCCAAAATCCTCTGGCAACTAACTTGGCAGCTCCTTGATTATTACTTAAGGCTTGGCTTTTGACTGTTTTCTGGGCTCTTGGTTCAGATGTTATTCTTTATTCATGTAAGGTAGCATGTGTTTCCAGCTGAGTGATTTTTCTCAGCCTGTTTCCTGCATGTTAAAGTTAGGAGGGCCAAAGGTCTCTTTATCTGCCCTTTCAATCTAATTAGCAGTGTTTCTGACAATATAATATTTTTAAATGTGAGAGTATCCTGCTAATTTTACTGCAGTTTATGCCAGTAGACAAAATCTACACCCAAGTGCCCTTCAAAATAAGCCTCTAATTTGGAATTAACTTGAGATCATGTTTTCCTGGAAGTGTCCTAGATTTTATCTTTGCCTTGAGGCCATTTCTTAATTTTAGCATCATCTGTCATCTGAAGATAGGAGAACTTAAAAAACTAATTATTTATTCATTTTTATTTGTTTATTTCCTTTATCTCATCTCTTGTACGTTGGTATAAGCAGCAAGAACTCAGGAGGCACATTCAGCACTGAGTCTGGAAATCCCCTTTAGGTCACCCGGTTCATGAGGCACTATTCTATTCTCTGTTACTGCAAGCAATAGTGTTGCTACACTTTCTGCTGCTACACAACCAGAATTCCCTTTCCTCTAATCTGTAATAAGATTTTCATCACTTTCCTTAAGTCCACATCTATAGCATCCTCAAAAGCTATCACAGTTTCTTCAAGGCTCTTCATGTTTTCACTAACACTATCTTTAAAGTCCTTCCAGTTTCCATCCACTGCTTTTTTCCAGATTCTTGGTGTGTGTGTGTGTGTGTGTGTGTGTGTGTGTGTGTACAGTTCAGATAAAATGCATAGTTAATGCCACAAGACTCATCCTTTAAAGCATACAGTGGTTTTTAGTACATTCACAAGATTACAACTGTCCAGAATGTTTTCACCCAGAAAAGAAACTTTGTTTCTATGAGCATTTGCTCCCCATTCCTCTCTTCTTCCAATACCTAATAACCAGCAACTTAGTAGGTCTTTGTGGTTTTTGATTATGGATGATTTGTATATGTACAGTATGTGGTCTTTTGTGTCTGAACTTTTTCATTTGGTATAGTGTAAATTAGCTATTGCTGCATGAAAAAAATTACCCCCAAACTTAATATCCTCTTACAGTCTCTGTGTTTTAGAAGTTCAAAGCAGCTTAGCTGGACGGTCCTAGCTATCTCCTATAAGGTTGCAGACAAAATGTCCACAGGGGCTTCAGTCAACCGAAGGCTTGAATAAGGCTGGAACATCTGACTGTAAAGTGGCTCGCTCACATGGCTTTGGGCCAGAGGCCTCTCTTACTGGGTTTTGGCAAGAGGTATCAGTTTCTCACCACTTGGGCTTCTCCATAGCTTGTCTTAACTGTACTATGGCTTCCCTTAAAGTAAATGAAGAGAGAACTAGGCAAAAGCCACAGTGTTTTTATAATCTAGGCTTGGAACTAATCTTATTCAAAGATCAACACTGACTTACTGTGGGAGAGGACTGTACAAAGGCATGAACACCAGAAGTTGCAAATCACTGGGAGCCATCTGGGAATGGCTCCTCGGATGGCTTATTATAGTGTTGTTGACATTGGAATATTTTGCTGTCACATCCTAGAGGCTACCACTGTGCCACTAAATTCAGGAAAACTCAAAAAGAAGTCAAAGTTCTGTACACTCTAATAAATATTTTTCACAAGTTCTGAGCCCTAAGTCCATCTCATCACTCACCACCTTATTGAAGTAAATAGAGTTCTGGGTTGCTTTAAGTGTAAATAGAGTGTCTCACTATAACAGACCCATTTCATCTCCTTATTTCTCCTGATGTCTGTCTGGTATTACTGTTTGTCAAATTTCCCAATCCATGCCCTCCTTGAAAAACATAAAAGGTCTCACCTTCTCTTAAAGCTATTTTAAAATTTAAATATGCTTTAAATATTGTCACTAAAAATCAAAATAACTAATTTTTAAAAGGTTTCTGATATTAATGATATAGCTTTTTATCATGATATTAATGATATAACTTTTTTGAGCCTTTAAATACATATAGTAGTTGCTTTTAAATTTTTTAGAATTCTTGTAGAAACTCTGAGATATGAATCTTCTCAGAAAATGAGCCAGTATACAAACATCAGAAGTTCACAGACCCCAAATTTAGAATTTCTCTTAGATATTTTTGCCACAATTACTTATATTCTTAATGATGTTAGATTTCTTAGTATTGATAAGTCTTCATTTCCCACAAAATGATCTCTCTGGCAAAACTGATCCTTAATATTAGGGTAAAGAACAACTTAAGTTTTTTGTTTCTTTGTTGTTGTGGTTGTTGAAACTTACAACTTATCAAGCTGATCATTGGCTACAAATGATTTGCTTTATTTTTTCTTCTGTTAAGTTGAACTTTTGTGAAACTTAAAAAAAAAAAAATACTAGAAAGATACAAAAAGCTTCACGTGAAACAAATAACCATATTCCCAAAACCCAGAACTTAAAATGTTAACATCTAGTCAAATTAGTCTTTTTAAAATAATAAGTAGGGCTGGGTTTATGGCACAGTGATAGAGTGCTTGCCTAACATGTGTGGGACACTGAGTTTGATCCTTGGCACCACATAAAAGTGAACAAATAAAGGCATTGTGTCTATCTACAATTCAAAAAAATAAACAAAAAAAAATAATAAATAGGGGCTGGGGTTGTGGCTCAGTGGTAGAGTGCTCACCTAGCATGCCTGAGGCCCTGGGTTCGATTCTCAGCACCACATAAATAAAATATAGTGTCCACCTAAAACTAAAAAATAAATATTTAAATAATAATAAGTAGATAAGGCTGAAGACCCCTTTAACCATCAAAGTCCCACTCCTTTTGCCCAGCAAGCATCTCTCATCAGGGATTAGTGTATATCCTTCCACTTCATTGTTTGATACTTTCACAGCCATACATATGTATCCATATTTAATATGTAGTATTAATTTTTGTTATTTATATACATACAAATAGTATCATATTATACATGTTTTCTACATTCCTTTAAATTTACATTGTTTTTGTGATCTGGACAAGTTGATACACATGAATCCAGTTTGTTGTTGACTGCTATAAAACATCACTATCACATTGGCACTATAGACAATGTAAGAAATATCTTTTTCTTGGGTTGAACCATATGAAATTACTGTTCTTGTATGTCAGAAACATTTGAATATGACAGTTTTATATGGTTGGACCTGTTTATATGGCAACACTTTTTAACATCTAATCTTGAATTTTAAAAATATTTTTTTAGTTGTAGATGGACACAATACCTTTATTTATCTTTATGTGGTGCTGAGGATCAAACCCAGGGCCTCACACGTTAGGCAAAGCGCTCTACCACTGAGCCACAACCTCAGCCCTTGAATTTTTGATTATGCAAACTATATGCAAAACTGTAGGATTTTTATTTGCATTAACCTGCTGTCAGTGAAAGCTAGACATACTTGTATATGTTCATTGGTCATTTGTGTTTTCTTTAACATAAATTTCCCACTTACACTTTGTTTATTCAGACTAGGGAAAACAAAGTACTTCATTAAGGATTGATGGTGGACATTTTCATGGATTAGGGAATGAATAACCTTGATCAATATTAGAGTTCTCCCAAAGGTAAGAGACTGTATAATGGCTACAATTTCCTCCCATTTCATTGTACATGCAAGTTTGCAACATGATTTTGTCATGGTTTTCATCCAAAGGTGGAGCTGGGTGAACTACTCCCTTGAAGCTGGCTGGTTTTGACTTGCTTTGATCCATAGAATGCGGTAGAAATAATGTTGCACAAGTTCCTGCTTTTAAGCCTTAGGATACCTTTAAGCTTCTATATTCACTATCTTAAAAAACTACCCCAAGAATGCCATGTAAAGACAGACTAGCTTACTAGAGAATTAAGATACCCCAGCTGCCAGCAACACCAGCTGCCAGACATGTGACTAAAGCCAGGTTAGATTTTCCACTCCAGTTGTGCCTCCAGCTAAAGGCAGTCACTCATAATCATGAAGAGTAATTATTTTTTTAAGCCACTTAATTTGGAAATCGCTTGTTTTACAGTAATTAACACAATTGTGCTCTGATATGCTAATGAGGGGTAAATTTTAGGGAAAAATAACTTTAAAATACTTGATTAATAGATAATATCCTTTTTTATTATTAACAGAGAATTTACTGTAAGAGCATTGTCCTAACCACTTTGTAAGTTATCTTGTTTTATCTTTAAAACAACCCTATGAAGTTGTTTTATTATCCTTGTTTTTCCCAGAATCACAAGCAATTAACCACTAGAACTTGTTTTAGACTGAGCTATATCTGCCCCTAATACCTGTTTATGTAAAAAACTATCCTGCCTTCCCAAAGGCGGGGGTGGTGGTGGGGGGTGTACCTCTACAAATTTGCCAGAGCAAAAAAGTCACATTTAGTGGCATGCAATTTTATCGATGCAATTCAGTTTTAAAAAAAGAATTTAAAGTCAAAGGCTGGGGATGTAGCTCAGTAGCAGAGCACATGTGCTCAATCCTTAGCACCCCACACAACACACACACACACACACACACACACACAAAGTCATACTAAAAAATATATATTGAGGGCTGGGGTTGTGGCTCAGTGGTAGAGCACTTGCTCAGCATGTGTGAGGCACTGGTTTGATTCTCAGCACTGCATATAAATAAATGAATAAAATAAAGGTCCATCAACTGAATTTTTAAAAAAATCATTAAATAATACATATATAGAATGGAATGGACATCACTACCCTAAGTACATGTATGAAGAAGACACGAATGGTGGGAATATACTTTGTATACAAGCAGAAATATGAAAAATTGTGCTCTATATATGTAATATGAATTGTAATGCATTCTGCTGTCATATATAACAGAATAAAAATTTTAAAAAATGTTTACATAATACATAGATTTTAATTAATATATCTGGCTGCAAATAGAATATACCACTTTTCAAATTATTATAAAGGCAAAGTCGTCATAATAAAGTCATGCTCTTAATGCCCCCTCTGTTCTAAATACATATCACGAAAAGTGAAATAAGAAAATTGAAAAGTAATGAATGAACACAAAACACTGAGCAGACTGAAGATGAGGGCATTCTGGGCTCGGGGTGGCAATTTAAATTTCTATTCCTATAGAATAATCAACATTAAAACTGTGTCCCTAAGACAAATGTATAAAATGTAGGCTTTTAACCCATTTTGTCCCATTGTCCCAGATAAAAACTTAAACTGAACAACATAAATATAACACTTATGGTTATTTTGAAATATTTGAATATGTATTTAGAGAATTTAAAAATTTGGCACTTAATGGGTTAACTAAATTTGACAGGACTAATTTCTTTCTAAGGTTTTGAGGTTTTGCTATGCAAAAAGCAGTAGATCCGACATAGTAGGGAGGATATGAACCAGTACAGGTAGAACAGAAATAGCAGAAATTTTGCTATTCTGTCATCCCATTTGAAATAAAATTAATTTAAGCATGGGTCAACAGTAAATAGTATTACTTGACAGAATCCTTTCTGTCTACAGTTGTAAAAAATGTAGCTATAATATCCTAAAAGGATATATTCAGTCCTACATACAGCAACTTGGAAAATGTTAGAAAGACACAAAATAATCAGAATACATTTTTTAAACGTTTAAACCAAATTCACATACACAGTATAAAAAAATTGATAGCATACTCATACTTTAAAAAAGACAAGGGGGGCGGTTGTCCATAATTAAAACTTTATTGAAAAACACCAAAATAGGAGATCATTGTTGTATACCTTACAAAATCAAATGTAATTACATTATCTTGGAAGAGTAACTAGAATTACTGAACTTATAAGGCTTCTGTGAGAAAACATAAATTCTGGAAGTTGCACAGATCATTAGTGTTGCTTTCTTCTAAATGAACAACCTGCAAAGGAATCACAAGAGTATATTAAAATGAAGTTTATTTCATCTTTGGTAAAACTTCAGTAGCAAAAAGTATGTTTTAAGTAAAAACTTCAGTTTTAGGAATATTAGATTGATATATACATACAAATTATTTATCCCTTTATATCACAAATTTGCTATAATAAATCCATTATAGTTTATTCTGCTATGACCATAATTGTCACTCTGTTTCTTAAATCATATAATGGAGTCTTGACCATTAGCCTGAATTCAACAATAAAAAACTGTTTTGAAGATAGTTTTTTAGAACTATTCAAAATAGTTTTCCTCAAAAAGTAACTCCAAGTTCTTCTCAGGTCTGTTAGGAAAACTGCTATAGATGCACCTTTGAACCATAAGTCAGTATTTGCACACAAAAGTCCAAAATCATACCATGAAATAAAGGTTTCAAAAATCTTATGAATACACTTTAAGAGTAATATTACTCTTAAATATCATATGCTGACTTTGTACTCAGATCTTACCAAATCACACTAAATAGACCTTGGATTTACTGTTAATACCCTCGTAACTATTTCAGTGAAAACAACACAGAACTCACAGCTCCAAAATAAATTTCACACCAAAATAAACTTCATATCATAATGAAGTTGTAAATCTGCAAGTATTACTATGAAAAACTATATACAAAATTATTTTTTCTTACTGCTCTAAAGTGAAAGAGGAATTAAAGAGTTTTATATTAATCATTAAGTAGTTGTTCATAAAAATGAAACCTGTGGCATTTTAATTATATAATAGTTATCTTTTCTTCAGTTGGCAATGATAAAAAACTATCTCAAGTTAAATATACCAAATACATATGGAACAAAATATTTACAAGAGAAATTTTTAAATCCTATGATTTTTAAAATCATAGGATTATATGTAGTTACTCTTGTTCCCATTCTGATTTATTTTTAATTTATTCCAAGCTAAGCAAATTGGGTGAATAAGTACAAAAGAAAGTGTTCCAAATTTAGAAAAACAATAAAGGAGATCTTTGTAAAGTCAAGAGCATGAATTTATCCAAATGAACTGGGCACTCTTTACTAAAAAAGTCCACAATGAAAAATTTAAAAAATATCTCATCACTGGGTTAGAAAATATCAAATGATAAACCTTCTGTGAGTCTGGCCTTTCCTCCTGTAGGCTGGCACAACACTGTTGAACAACCTACACAAAGAACCACTGTCTGGGCATGGCTAAAAACTGTGGTAATCTTGTAGCAACCTGGAAAAAAAAAAAAAGGCAATATTAAAAGTGAAAAGCTGATGAAATCAGCACCTGTTTGGCATATCTAGTAATATGTAAATAAATATTATTTAAAAAGTAATGTTTTATTAATCTCATGTAAGGATTTAGTGCTCCAACATCAAGTCACATATGTTACAAACTTTTCTAGTAACCACGTAAGTTTGTTTAAAGGGTAAAAAATGAATATTTTCTTAAACTTGATATTTCAAAAATACTAGCATTTCAACATGTAATCAATTTTTTTGTAATGCTACATCTTCAAAGTCCAGTGTACCTTTTACCCTTAAAGACCATCTCTGTTTTGACTGGACACAGCCAAATGTGCTCAGTAGCCACATATGGCTAATGGCCACCACACTGGGCAGCTTGGCTTACACTGAAAAATCAACTTTTCATCACATCATAAAAAAGAAAACTCATCATCTGAACAACTTAATGGATTTATTAAGTCAATTATCAGATTCCCTTCGGATGCCCATCTTTACCTTTCCCAAATATGTTTCTACAATGACTTGAGTACATTATTATGAAAATATTCCTTGTGACATTTTCAATTCTGTAATTTCATTTCTATTCAACAGAGGATCCTAACATCTATACATACATAACAAAAGAGAAATCTCTTCAGAAATTTCCCGTAGGAAAAGAATTAAAATTTGAAATTTTACCTGGACATTTTACATCCATAAAATAAGAATTTGGACTTTGAACTAGCCGTTTCTTTTTATGTTTTTTCTTTTCCTCTTCCAAGGAAGGATGTAGCAAATCTCTAGCCAACTAAATAAAAAGGCACATTATTATTATTGGAGTTTAACCAAAATACTGGCATATTTAACCATACAGGAAATACACATGCAAAATAGGAACAACAGTCATACTTGATAACAATTAAGATATTTTAAAATTTTAATGATCCGATCATTTTCGCCAATACTTTGCGTTTCCAAGGACCTGCCATAGGGCTTTGTGACGATCAGAACGCCAAAGGTAAAGCTAAACTCGTTGTTTCCTCAACTACATAATAGTCTTCAATAAAAACAAAACTGCGATGCTAAGAACAAGACTGACTCTGGACTCGATGAAAGTAGAAACCGCTGAAGTCGTAAGTCCTCGCCAACGCCTTGGTGATTTCTGCCCTCGGGGCAGAAATCTGATCTAACAGAACTTGAGATGAGACCGCCCTGGACGGAATTAGTACGTAAAACAACTGCTAAGGCAATGTTGAAAAGGAAACAAGCAAGAAACAGCCTCCCAGAGAAAGCTTCAGGGGCGAGAACCACGAAGCACCAGAAAACCAAAAAAGATTCCAACGATTACAGTCTCGTCGGCGCCTACCCAAAATAAGTGACGCTGGGAACAGTTCCACTCCTAGCCACCGACTCCAGATGGCAGTCCAGGGCGGCTCCGGGTCCACCCGGCTCCACGCCCGTGCAGGGCCCGCCATGCCGCGCTGCCCGGGCAAGCCACAACAAGCCCTCACTCGCGAGAAGTGCCCAGCGATTCCAGCCGCCGGCCACCTCTGGCAGGGAGCGTCGCGGTCAGGGGAAGCCGTTAGGCTCAACTGCCCCCTATAACCCCGGACAGACCGAAAGCCCGAAATAAATCCTGAGGCCAAAGTAAACAACTCACAGGCATGGTGATGCTTTCGCAAGCACGGTCCGTCCAGATCGAGCAGGCGACAGACTCTTCTGGCTAGCAGCACGCGATCGGGCGCTCGGCACAACTTCCGGGATAGAGGTGGCTGGGAGGAGCGGAGCGGACGGTGGGGCGGGCTCGTCCACTCTAGGCACTCTTCTCGGTGGTGAGGACGCTCCGTCTGGGTCAGCGGGTCTAGGCCAACGAAGGTTCCCAGGGTGGCGAGGGTGCTGCTGTCCTCATCCCCACGAACCTGCCGCTAGGCCGCAGGCTCCGCCCTGAGCCAACGGCGTTTGGGCCAGGCTCAGGCTGTAGTGTGCCGGGCTGGAGGGCCACGGCGAGCTTAGGCCGGGAGTGGGGAGCTGGACCCGGCGGCCGCTCACACAACCGGCCCGCCCTCGTTTCGCCCTGCTCTAAGCACGCGAAGCGGTGCGAGTATTCTCTGTTCTTTTTTGTGTTAAGAAATACAATGTTATTAACAATTAATATGTAGCAGAAAGATTATAAACAGGTTCCTATCTTTGTGCATCTGCCTTCCAAGGTGCAGGTTTCGAAGTTCTCAACAGGATGCTGCTGTGCCTTGGGTTTGCTTTGATCTAAAACTGTTATTAAGCAGCACTCATTCTCTGCTGTGCGCCCTCTACCTAGAGGCCCCTTCCTGCCATACTTTTTAGAGTGCATACTTTTTAGAGTGGACAACTCCATCCTGAAAAAGCGGGGAATACCGCATATAGCCAGATGTGAAGTGTGTTTGACGAGAAGGAATGCTTGAAGGGTGGCGTGAGCATGTGTGCCTGAACACTAAGAAACTAAGGAGAAGCTTGACTGGAAAATTGTCCCAACAAGACGTTCCTAATTACTTTTTCTCTCTCTTTGCAAAAAGAATACAGATATAATATTCAATTTGGGGAAATGCAGAAAAACAAAATTAAGATTACCATCCAGAAATAAACATTGTTAAGTTTTGACCCATATCCTTCAAAATATTTTTTACTCACTTGCATAGGTTTATTTTTGGTTTTGAATTTTTATGATTGGGATTATCTTGTGCATTATCTTTGGTAGATTTAAATTTCTCCTCATTAAATAGATAATGAATATCACTCCCTAATACTATGTGTTCTCCTGCCTTATGATTGTTAATGGGCACATAGAAGTTATCCTATGGGTGGATATATGGATATATATTATGATATGTATTATGGGACATTGATATATATATATATATATATATCACTATATAACACATGTATGTATATCTCATTCCATTCATACACTGAATTGGATGTTAGGTTTGAGTCTTTAAACTATGGTATTTAAAATATTAATAAATTTTAATACTGCCATACAGATACGTATATAGAATAATACAATTATATAGGCAGAATAATGGCCCCCAAAGATGTCTATGTTCCAATCCCCAAGATCTCTAGTAACTGGGCAAGTGTAATTAAGGTTGCTAATTAGTTGACTTTTAAAAGGTTATGCTGGATTATATGTTTAGACCCAAAATAATCACAAGGGTCCTTGAAAATGGAAGAGAAAGGAGAGAGAAGGAGAATATGGCCAAGGAAGAAGCATCTGAGAGATGCTATGTTGCTGGCTTTGAAGATGGAGGAAGGGGCTATGAGCCAAGGAATGTGGGTGGGCACCCTTTACAGAATAGAAAAAGCAAGGAAATAAACTGTCCCCTAGAGCCTCCAGATGGAACACAGCCCTGCCAACTCCTCAATTTTAGCTGTGAGAAACTGATTAAACTTGGAAATACAGAACTATAAGATAATACATTTGTATTCTTTTTTTAGAGAAAAATTTTTAATATTTATTTTTTAGTTTTCGGTGGACATAACATCTTTATTTTTTTTATTTTTATGTGGTGCTGAGGATCGAACCCAGCACCCTGCGCATACCAGGTGAGTGCACTACCGCTTGAGCCACATCCCTAGCCCCAAATTTGTATTCTTTTAAAAGAAATTTTTGGTAATTTCTTACAGCAACAATAGAAAACTGATATAGAAATGAACACCTATGTATCCCTCCTCAACTCTGTAAAATCTTAACATTATTCCCTGTTACCAATTTTTCACTCTTAAACAACACTGAGGTGCGCATTTTTAGTTAAGTTTTTGTGTACATCTTTGATTATTTTTTTAGGACATATTTCTAGAGGAAGAATTACTGAGTCAAAAGTTGTGCACATTTTAAAGTTTATAAAATGAACCGTCAAATTATTCTCCAAAAGAGTTAAACAATTTTTATTCCAGAAGAAAATGTATGAGAATAACCTCTTTTTTACACCCTTGACAATATTGGGTATTATGTCTGTTTTTCAGTTCTTTAAACATTTGCTTCAGTTCTTTATAAACAATTCCCAGTAGGGTATCAAAAAAACTCTTCACCTATGAGACACTCAGAGGCAACATAAGAAAGAAAAAACTCTCAAGGTCAAGAAGACCTTGACTCTACTTCTAACACTCTCCCCCCCCCCAAAGCTCAATTTCTCCTGACCTGTCCCCATGCCTGTGCATTGATGGCAGATTAAAGGACTTGTAGGCAGATGAAGGCCCCAGAGTCTCTGTATTGACAGCCTGCTCTTGGGATCCTTCAAAAAGAACACCCCCAGTGGCTGCCCAAAGAACCATGAGGTGCAAATTGAAGTTATGATTTCTGCTCTGAGAACTCTCCAGCTGCCTATCTGGTCTGAGAAAGTGCCACTACCTGTCCCCTGGACTGAAATTCTTCAGTTATGCCCTTGTTTTCCCAGAAAGAGGGTCAGAGGTTTAGTTTAGTTGTGTTTTCAAAAAAATTGGAGTGGGAGGTGGGAGCCCTAAAGATAACTTTTCACACCCTTCCCTTTCTGTTTTTTTTTTTTTTTTTCTTTCCTGAGAAGTTCCTAAGACATGTCATCTGCAAACTTTAACAAGGTTGCATTTTCTCTTTCTTCTATTGTTCACCTGTCATCAGGTTTCAAAGCATTTCTGGTTTATTCGCAACCATTTCTGATATCAGCAGCAACTTCTGAAAGGCCATCTCTCTTCTGCCTACCATTCTCCAACAACGGCATTGCCTTTGTGCCCAAAGAACCAACTGTAGGGGTTGCAGCCCATCTGTCATTCATAAGGATGCCTCACAAACTCGGGTAAGCTCCCATTGATAAGGACTTAAGACTCTCAGACCCAAACTCTGGTGTCATTTTCTTTATTTTCCATACCAACTGGGCTGGCAGATTATGTCCCTCATTATTGAGGATTGTGCTAGGTTTGCTGCATGTGTCTACCACCAGATCTTGCCCTTCATACTTCATGCTACTCGTGCCCAGGAGACTGACTGATGACTGCATCCACTAGATTCCCTTCCTCTTTTATTTCTAGTTGAGTTTGGGCATCAGTAGAGTGAAATTGCCAGAGAAGAGCAATGTTGGGTTATTTACTCCTCAGGATCTATCTTTGATGGGCCATTTTATCCCAAGTGACTAATTGCAACAGTTACATGGTGTCCCTGTCTCCATGTTTTTCCCCTGTTCTTCCCCTTTGTGCTGAGGGTTGGTGCTTTATAATCCTTTGTCTGTTTCTGTTAACCCTGTCCCAGCCTTGTAAATACTTCCTTAAGGAAACTCTTTTTAGTCATACCTTTGAGTGAACCATCTGTCAGGACCCTAATGTGGGATTTTCCCAGTAGGGAAATGCTTCCCTCTTAGCTTGTATGGCTTTGCTGACAGGGCCCATCTACTCCTTAGTCATCAATCAACTGGGTCACCATGGAATGTCCATTGTCCATGGGACCCTTCAGGTTTGACAGACTAAGGTTCTTCTTGTTCTGTACTTGAAATGTATATGAGAATATTAAAGATATGACTTATAGGCCTAGCCAAGCATATCCTTGTCATTTTGTCAGTCAGCAGCATTAGTATCATCTGGGAACATGTTGGAAATACATATTCTCAGGCACCATCCCTGATCAACTGATTCAGAATCTGTATTTTAACAAGATCCAGTTATACGTGAGAACATCCCAGTGAGAAGCACTGGCCTAGATTCACCACATTCTTTTATTTTGTCTGGTGCTGGGATTGAACCCTGGGTTTTGCACAGTTAAGCACATGCTCCACCACTGAGCTGTATCCCCACCACCCCACTACATTGCCATTCTCTCTGGAGTCTTCCTACCTTCCCAATGGAACTTTCAGGAAGCCAGAACTCAAACTACTACTATTCCAGGGTAAGAAAATCAAGGATATATCTCTAGATTGAAGCAGGGAAGTTCTCTCTTCCCCTACTTCTCCAAGAAATCTTTATTCCAACAAATCTATTCTCCTTTATCATATCCAGGAGCTCAATGATCCTCAAACTAGGTTGCACATTATATAATTATAATTACCAAAAAATCAACCTTGACCAAGGAAATTAACAGTATTTGGGGAAAGGATCCAGGTGGCAGCATTTATTTATTTATTAGTATATTTTGGTACCAGCTGGCAGTATTTTTAAAAACTACCCAGGTAATTTTCATGAGCAGCCAAGGTTGAAAACCACTGATGCAAGTTCTTTACAGTTTTCAAAGGCAAAGGCCAGAAAGAACTGAAAGCTACTACTCCTGAAAGGGAGTCAGCACTCTCCCCTTCCACTGGAGGTCTCAGCCAGAAGGCCCTCACCAGATCTTGTACCTTAATTCTGGATCCTATACACACTTGGTAGCCAGGTGAGATCTCCAAGCACTTGTCCTGCCTGCTGTGGTAATCAGGTCTCTGGCTTTCTCCTCAGCTTTCCTGCAGACTCTCTCTTTATCCTCCTGTCTCCAGGGAAGAAAGTGAGCTACTTAGAGGCAGGTTACTCTCTCAAACTTCATTGTAATTCCCCAGCTAATAGTAAAGATGTTTTATGAAAATACGAAGGTCAGTAGAAATTTATGCAAATGTAATCGCTTCCTTTTCTGAATTCTTTATTGCCTACATTAATCACTTCTTAATAACCACTGCAGTCTTTTGAGGGTTTTCTTTCTATTTCTCTTGCACTGATATTTTATTTCCCCTGAATCTGTGTCTTATCTTCCTGAAAAGTCCACAGCTTCTTGAAGACCAGAATTTGGTCTCATATCCTAATAGTGAAATCGTGCTAATCACTGCAGGAAAATACTGCACTCAACATAACTGACTTGATGGCCATTTTTTGAGGACTAACCATTCTATCTGGTTTATCTAGACTCCGTCTCTTCTAACTTGACTAGATCTTTCTTGATACACAGCTTTGATCATTTCTTTGTCTCACTTGGTGTGATGGGGAAACCAAAAAAACCACTGA